TGATGAGGTGCCGAGATGGTGCTGAAGAGGTGCTGAGATGGTGCTGAGGTGCCGAGATGGTGCTGAGGTGCCGAGATGGTGCTGAGGTGCTGGGGGTTCCAAGTCTGCACTTTCCCCCTTGACTAATACAGTCTTGATTTATCTGCTTTTCATGCTAACAAGATCACTTTTCTTTCTATTCTTAATACCACTGATTGTGATCGAATGAAAACATGTTTATGATTTGTTAGTTAGTTAGTAAAAGAAACAATATTTTAATTTAACATTGCAATTTTTTCTTGATGCTCACCTATTGATTTTGTTTGACGCCATCGATTAAAAAGATTTACAGATTTTTCTTTGACATATATCATGTGTTGCCATATGATTTGATCACTCTGTTTCGTATTTAATTCGATTGATGGTGATTGAGCCGCTTGTTCTAAATCTTCATTGAGTCGACGAATTTTTTCTTTCAATCTTTCTAAATTCTGTTCAACAACACCCTTTGTTTCTCGCAGCTCTTTCAATTCTTGTGACAGTGTTTCGAACTCTCCCATAATTTTTTCCAGTTTAGAATTCATTATTTTGGAGATCTGCTGTCGAGCCAATTCAGCAGTTTCTTTTACTTTTTCAATGGTTTTTCGTTGCCACTCATCAACTTGTGCAACAATGTGATTGACAGATATTTTTTTGGAAGTAGCCTCGTTGATTTTTGCTTGAAGCTCATTTCTGTCAACCGTAAGTCCATCTAATTCATTAAGTAACGATCCACGATGGCTTTGGAAATCATCATCACAAAAAAATGCTTGACATCCAGGGCAAATGCAAGTTCCTGCGCGTTTTTGACATACCGAGCAACGATTCGATGTTGCCATCAATCTATGAATAAAAAGAATTCAAATCGTTTTTATGTAAAAGCTATACGTTCCTTTCAATTATGAAAAGCTAAAACGTACAACACATTAGATTTATATAACTTAATATAACTAATTATGCAACAGATGGGAGACGCAACAACGAAATAAAACGATGCACTGAGAAAACAACGTTTTTCATTGAGATGCGCAATTCAGAGTCCGGTAAAAGCTAGATATGCGATTCAAAATAGACAGACCATTTACCTGCTTTGTTTTTTCTAAATATTTGTGCTTTCTTTATTCGTTTTATTTCAATATACATGACTATCTTGGCTTTTATAGAAAACCACCTCATGTCAATAATACTGACACTCGATTTTAGTCCAAAAGCATCCAAAACAAAATGTATGAATTCGGAAGTTGATCGACACTATAATTATAGGCAGTATCTGTCGAAACCGAAAACATTCGATCTATACATCCGTGTATTGGATTTTTACTTCTCAGTTCCCTGACATTTTCCGGTGTATTCTGGCCAAACTTCAACAACGAGTGGTAATCCTCAATGAGTCAAATATCACTATCATTCTAGTATGTAAAGACCATGCAAAGCCATGCTAGGAAGAGCACGCGAGCAAATATGCTAGGTCCATAAAAATAGATGACAAATATAGGCAAACTAAGGAAATTCATCAGCTAAGATGAGCAGTTCGGACCAAACATTCGCATACCTGTTTGAATCTCTAATATTTTCAGCTTAATCATCGCTAGAATAGATTCTTAACACATTGGGCACGATTCAGTTTTCGTATGAAATTTCTGCAAGATGTCATTTTTATGAATCGTTCACTTCTAATAAATGCACTTAATGACCCTTTCGTTATCTTCTACTGATTATTTA